CATAAACTAACATAGTTCTTTAGTGAACAATTTAGACAGGAAGACCAACAACAACCATCCACGAAGCTTATCTTACCATTTATCACAAAAACTATTTGAACTCAACTTCTTCTATGCCATCACCATCAACGAAAGATTATTGGAAATGTTTTCAACTGATAAAACCTTCTTCAAAAACTTTTAAAAAAAAATGAAATGAAACTGATATTAAAAAAAATAATGAAGGAAAAATCACACTTCCAGATATAAACCTAAAAAATGGTCTTTATCAATTGATAGACAAAGGTAAAAAAAAAGGGGGAAAACACAAAGGAAAGTCTGTTTACTTTCAAGTTTGATTCAACTCATTAAAACTAAATCACAGTGAAATAACTTAGTGAAATAGCTACAATCACCTCATAATCGAATCAAAAACTAAGAAAAGACAAAAGAGTCTGGATAGCATTCATAGATCATAATCATTTGCCTTTCAAGTTTGATCATGTATTAGTTCTATTATTAAAAAGGAACTGGAGCCAAATTTATTATTCTTCGACCACAATGCCAAGAGCTTAATAAAATCCATATCTTCCATAATGAATTTAACTTAAAAAAGAAAGGTTTTCTGCTTGTTGGTGAATAAAAAAAGTGAGAAACTTTAGAAAACACATGCCCAGCCTGTTATTTAACTATCAATCATTATAACATAAACAATAAGACTTGAAAAATGGAAGAAAAGGAAAGGGAAATAGTGTCAAAACAGAAACCTTATTTAACTATCAATCATTATAACATGTAAACTTAGTGAAAACTACATATTATCTTATGCTCCAGAACTGCATGATATAAAAGCAATTTCAATTTAGAGTTTCAACTAACAACAGGAAAACCAAATCAAAACTTACAAAAGAGATGTAAACATAGCAATTCAATACTGTAAGGCTTTGAGAAATGAAGGTCAACCAGTGAGCAATCGTCACCCTGAAGTTCTGGGAAAAGAGCAATATGTCCTCAGCAATTTTCCTTCTTCTAGATTTATTCCTCTCAATTTCATTTAATCATTTTCAAGTGAAGAACTTCAAAACTCAACTTTCTTCAACATGTATAACATCCACATTGTCCCTTGAGCAAACTCAATTTTCAAAGCGGCAAAAAAAAAAAAAAAACCTTTGAACATAATCTAGCTTTGAACATAACCTTTGAAAATATTAGCTTGAGCATGCTATTGTTGTACATAATCTAGAACATAATCTGGAATCTATACATCAATCACAAGATACAATCATAGGAATTTTTTAGTCGATTTTATATGTAAACTCATTTAAAAGAAACCAGTTAATCAAGCACAATGATGTAATAGATATTACCTCGTTTATCTCAAAAACATCAATATCATTGAGTTCAAGCCCTGCAGCTTTAACTGCAGCTGGAATTGCAATAGTTGGGCCAACACCCATGATGGCAGGATCCACACCAACTGCAGGAAAGGTCCTGCAAGATCAAGTAGTAAGAGATATCTTGATTTACCAATAGTTGACTAATTGGATGATTGACTTTATAATCTATTCAGCTCACCCAATATTTTGCTTGCCTGAAGTTTACCCAATATATTTATAATCTAGGAAGTGCATGTCTTCAATGCAATTTAACTGCTTAATCTAGTCACTATTCATATTTTTTCATGTAAAGCAACACTTAAATAAAACCAACTTTTTATGCATGTTCTAGTAATGATCAGAACTCCACTTAACTTCCAGAATTTAAAAATTCATTACTTACCTCTGTTTCACCAATTGTAGCTGCTACAGAAAGAGCAACTTTCATTTCTCTGTCATTTTCAAGAAATACTCCACGCTTCATGACATAGAGCAATGGGGGAACCATATTAGTATATTATCAATTGATCAAGCTTAACAATAGAAATGCATTGAGAGAAGGAAAGGACAGAGAACCTCAAATGGATTCATGCTTGCAGTGGTTTTTAAAAATCTATCCAAGAATGATTCTTCAACTGAAAAGAAGGTATAAAAGCTCGTCCTTTAGAAGACATGCTATTATCCAACAAAATTTGAAGATGAAGAAAACTATTTGGTTTACTGTCCATAGGAACCATGATTCTAGAAAAAGTAAATATCTCATGCTGTACTTTAGAAAATTGTCATGAAGTTTTCTTCTTCTGAATAAGTCAACAGATGAAGGAAAAGGGAGGAAATCAAAGACCTGCTATAAGTCTGTCAATACTACATACAACATCTTAGCACCCTATTTCCCCAATCAAAAAACCAAATGAAATCTTGACCATTCTTCACCATTGAGGAGAATTACATCATCAATATGCATAAAATTAAGCACGACAAATCAATCAAAAAAGAATTTGGACACAACTTACATGGACTGATTTCTGAAGTCATTTGCAACAGCATGGAGAAGCATGATTGTTGCACAAGCATTTCCAATAGTTTGTGTTA